TGCAAGGTTCGCCAACGAGTACTACTCGTCGTTTGCTGCGTTGAAGCGTCGTTAAGTTAAGGAGTGAATGTTCCCCCTTCTTTTACACCTCTTGACCTTTGACCTTTGACCCCCAGCTTCGACATCCCAACTCGTTGTGAAGATCCCCCCCAACGACCCGAATACCGTGACCGTACGTCGAGCGGTTAAGATTTGTGCCCAACTGTTGACGGACGGACGGACGCACGGACGGCCGGACGGACGGACGGACGATCATGCGATTCTACAAGCTGCATCTGACTATGTCAGATGAGCTAAAAATAAGACATAACTTATCTTAATAATATTGTAATTCTTACGAAGACACATCTTGAAGCTCTTGCATGAGGTCTTTAAGTTGCTTGTTACTGTTCAGGTGGTGTCTGTAGGCAGCTACAGTAAGACAAAACCCACTTGGAACCTGAAACTGTGGAGACAAAATAGGAAATTTAATGCTAAAATATACCCAACATGGATCTAAATTCAACTTAAAACATGAACCCTTTCACATCATTACTTTGATAGCCTCACTGGCAGGAACAAGATTTGTGTGCACGATATCGCTCTCTTAATATTTTAATAGGCATTAGTCAGCCATACAAAACTAATTCGACAAAATTCATAACTGATTCGCAAAGCAAAAATTTATTTGCTAGGCTTCATCAAAGGTCCTGACTATCAAATATTCATGATTCCCCTTATCATATAAACATGAAATCCTATACATAGCTCACATATACATAATACATATGTACAAGCTTCAAGAGACTCGATGGTAATCATAGACCATAAGAAGGATAATTTGTATGACATAATTAACATCTGATACAATGTACAACTTTATAAGCCACTATACCTTGCTAGGAAGCTGGCTTAGTAAAGCGAGCTGTGCTCCCTTGCCTCCAACTAACTGAGAAGAAGTGCATCTGAGGTCGCTAAACATTAGTGCAAGAGTGTCCTTATTTTCAATCTCTGCCATAAGAGAATTAAAAAAATCCAAATTTATGTATTATGTTAATGTTGACTTACAATTATATATCAACAATTTTGATCACAATTGTAGACAGATTCTTTTGCAATAAAATATTAAATGAAATATAAATGAAATATATATGAATTAATTAACTGTATAACTTGTTTTAAAATTTCCCAAACTGAGCCGTTACCTGGTTCTCTAGGCAAGGGAGTAGAATTCTGAATAGGAACTGGACAGGATCCTTCATACCTAAAACAATGGAAAATGTTACAAGAGTGATCTCCGTTTCTATGCTTGCAGCCTATTGCTTATGTGGACTACTGAGCGTGTGTGACGTTGAGCTCTGACATCAAAGTTACGTGTGACAGTAATGAATCATTAGCTGCTACAGAGATTTAGGAACTCCATTAGTTCAAAAGCTGAAAAAAACACATATGCATACGTGCACACTGCTCTGTTACTCTGTCAAACGTAGACTTCAAGACGGTGCTTAATGCATGAACATTCAGACAAGTTAAAAAAATGGTTTTTGAACTATTTTATTCATGAAAGCTAGCCAGGTTTGTGGTGCATGTTTACTTTTTTTTCCATTTTTATTTAAATTTAACACAGTTTGAAGTACACTACGCACCTGTACATGTACTCTGTGACTCCCCAGCCATTGACTCCATTTATTGTTACATCAGTTAACTGTTCATGAATCTTGGCACTCCATCTCTCTCCTACGTAGAGAATCTGCTCCTGTCTTTTTTCTGTTGTAATAGTGCACTCGAAATGGCCTGGAAGCAGAGGAATTCAGAGCGCTATTAGTTGTCAAAATGTTACATAAAATTCTGACAATGTATGTTAAGCTCATGCCAGAATAGCTGCACACGTCTCTATATTATCATCAGTAATAATTATACTATGCTGATGTTTACCTGCCACAGCGTTGAAGTCAAACTTATCAGGAGGCTGTGTAAACTCCCCGAGTCGTGACAAGTGCAGGTCGGTTGACTTCAGCACACAACGTTGCCCACTTGGCAGGACTATGTATCCGCTGACAATGCTGAAGCGATGCAAAAGAACAATGCTTATAAGGTAAGTATAAGAATATAAGGCAATTCTTTATATTAATCAATTCTATAAAAGTTAATTAAATATGGTCAACCTAGAGAAATTTGCCCTCTTGACATCTCTCCTAAATGCCCCGATTATTTTATAATCAGCAAAGAAGAAACTGCAGAATACTTACTGACTCAAAAGGTCAGGAATACTACTGGCCGAAAATGAGTACAAAGTTCCATCCTTTGAAAAACAAGATTACATATATTACATTAACATTGTTACCTCCGCCAAGGGGTTGGCAGGAGGTTATGTTTTCACCGGCATTTTCAGGATAGGTCAGAAATGGGGTAACTTAGAATTCCTTACATTTTCGTGGTGATCCGGATCCAATTAATTTTTTAATTAATTAAATTTTTCAGTGACAGAATTCAGCTGCCTTGGCGGAGGTCTGCGCTCTCCGAGTGCTCTAGTTTTATATGTGTTACATAAATTGTGAGATATAGAATTCTCTATGGTTATTGACATCATCATGCAGTTTGCAATCAAATGGTAGCGCATGTCTGCTGGTATGTGCATGTGTGTTACTACCCACATTCATATTAGGAACCCCTTAAACCACCTACCTTCAGGTATCCCCAGGTAGAAATGTATCTGTTGTATGTCTTCCAGTCCCGAATGCCAAAGGAATGTTCCCTAACTCCTCTCAATAACAGTGTCCTCTCTGCCTCACCTTCCACAGTTAGTTTACCGAGCAGCTGTCCACATACCTCATACCTCTGATTCACCTTACTACAGTGGTAAGCAAATAGTATCATTACTAATAGTGATTTTAAAAAACTAATGATATTAATTTACTTGTCATCTGATATCAGTTATACAGTGGGTATCATGTAAATAGCATTTGTGTAAATAATTTCAATTTTAATGAAAGATTCATGCATGAGTGCACCGTAGATATGATCCTGAAGATGAAACCATGATTACCTAATGTTCAATAAATTATCCTTGAGTTTTCTACGCCATGGTTCTCTAGCAACTGCATCAGACACTGTGCATGGGTCACTGTCATTCTCATCAGAAAACTCTCCAGTAAGGGCTGTCCAACTGTATAACATGGTTAATATAATGACAATAATAAAGGATTGATGACGAGCATAATATGAATAGGAATGTAGAGAAAAATACAAAGAAAGAACATATATGGAGTTAGTGTAATAGAGACTACTGCCCTGCCTCCGATGTTACTGCCATTATACAATGATACCGTGGACTTGTGTGTACATCTTCTACATCTATGGAAGGGACTGGTAGAAGGGAAAATGTAAATAAGTAAAACATAAATATTTCCTTATAAATAAAATATGCTCTTCACAAACATCTTTAGCTTCAGTGGTAATAATACATAAAAATCATATTAGAAACTGATTTCAGGACAGTTGGGGCGAGTTCAAATGGATGATAACTACAATGATGCCACACTGAAATAGTGGAATGAATAAACAACTGCTACAGAAGTATTACAAAGCATTGATGACTTTTGAGTGGTGCATGAGTATAGAGATACAGATGTGAGAACAGATGACTTCTGCCATATACCAGTGTACTGTATAATGCTATATTCCTAACATCGGCTCAAGTAAAAGTTCTAATCTATATCAAGGATAATAACATCAAAGTATCAGAATAAAAAATTTTATTCGTGATAAGATGCATCCACTGTTCTAGGTATCAATGTAAGTGCATGTGCCTGTGCATGTTTGGTCAGATTGTGGAAACAGCTAGCCAATGGACCTAAAATCACGGAAACATTTGCACTCTATCTTATAGGCTAGCTCCCTCTTTACATACTGTTACAATAGTAATTTGTTTTACAAATATTAAGGTATATATACGGGTATATATAATCTTTATATTAAGCTATATATAAAGGTAATTAAGAATTAAAAAGCAAAATTAGTTTCATTTTGATTACTTTCAGGGGTAGAAATTAGTTTGAAAATTTACAGGCCCACCGGGCATGTAGGTAAGGGATTTTACAGGCCCTCATCATTCCCTAGATACGGCAGCAATTTTTTTAAATAAAAGTCTGAAATTAGAAATTTTTACAATGGTTTACGTTCGTACGCACAAACAGGCATTTAGGTACACAGGGACCTGAGGCGGAAAAAAAAAGAAAATAAGTTATATATATAAAGAGAAGTGTGTAGTAATAATTGACGTCAGAAATGTTAAATTCGCATTCGCCAGATTTCCCATCGCCATCTTGTAAACAACTCGCGCGCTGAGCGAACAGCCTTCTCAGCGAGCGCTCGCAAGCTCCAGAGGCTGTTCGCGCAGCGCGCGAGTTGTTTTCAAGATGGCGACGGGCAATCTGGCAAATGCGAATCTAACATTTCTGACTTTAATTTACAATCTATTTCAACTTCATTTCATTTTTCATTCATTCATTTACTTCTAAATTCAATTCGTATCAATTTCGTCTGCTAATTCGTTTAACAGTACTTGTTCGAAGACATTAAAATCTCGCGATTAAAATCTGCTGAGTAACCCTCCATGGGGGCCGCCATCTTGGATAAAGCCAGCACACAGCGAGCGCTCGTGTGTCGTTCAAGAGCCGCTGCGTTCGTGCAGCGAGCGTTCGCATCGAGCGTTCGCTCTGTTGAACACGCCTCTGTACTAACCTGTGCGTCCGAACATCACGCGCATGTTTCTTGAATGCCAACTAAAGAGGTGTTCTAAATTTTCAGCGCACGCACTTGTGCGTACGCATTTCTTCTTGAATCCGGCACTGAGATCAATAGTGCATGCTGCTAGTTGCATGCTGGGGGTGGATTTTCTACAAGCCCGTCGGGCCTGCTAGTATTAGAAATGCAGGCCCGAGCCTTAAAATACGGCCATCGGGCCCGCGGGCCCGCTAGGATTTCGAACTCTGACTTTATATATACCCTGGTAGTAATTAAGTACGTAATTGAATAATTATACTTTGTATATAGGAATATATATATATATACGATCACAGAATAGAATACATATATACATTATAGATATTAAGAATACAATATTTAGTTAGTGATCGATACATTGACCTTTGCTCGGACTACATCTATTGTGACCTTCCATAAAATTGCCCACGACTATCATACATGATATCTTTGTATCTGAACTTTAATTATTAAGTATAAAAACTTCATTGAACAATTTTACATTTAAAATCGAGTACATACTCGTTAGGTACATAATTAATGCAGAATACATACATGAAAGCAAACTTTACATGCACCAACTTTCCTTCACTTTCTGGATTCCATTCATTTATCTCTCCTTCCCTAGTAAAAAACACAATTATTATTAAAATGAATTCTGGAAATATTACCATTTAATATATGTAATGTATGATAGGGTAGTCAATAAAACTACATACCTAAGCAGGCCATTAAATGTTACCCTCCACTTCATCAGGGGTTTAAGCAATTCAAATTGCAATCCTCCGGCAGTAAAGCTTTCCCCGTCACAGTTGCACACCCTGGTGTCAGGGAAGCTAGGAAAATGGTAGTATTGGCCATCAGCTAGCTTCAACATCAGCCATACCTACAGCAGGAAGATTCACAAGTGAAATACTGGTCAGATTTTAAAAAAATGGACAGCTAATATTGATTTTATTCTATCTTTTTAAAACGTGCATGTTTTCATAATAATGTAGAATTACTCAATAGCTGAAACTATAGCTATATTCAATTATATTTTATTGGAAAAGAGTGGTCATTCATTTTTTCATTTGAAAAGTGCATACATCTTGCTGCTATATGCATGGTTTTGCCAGGTAAAGTTTAACCATTGCAGTCAACATGGTTTGTGTTGCAAATATAGACTTGACAAACATGTTTACATTGAGGTACATTGATACATACATAAAGTGAAGTTAAAATTTTCATTAAAAAAAAAATTCCAAAAAAAGTGCAACCAGCATTTGTGAGAAGGCATATGGTTATATAAATAATCATTAATTTTTTCATACATACACGCACACGCACACTAACCTGAACACGCACCCACACACCGCACGCACACATGCACGCACGCACGCACACATGCACGCACACACACACTCAAACATCCAAACATCCAAATATCCTATGATCCTAATAGCCGTATTATAAGTGTAAGAGCTCATTCCAACATGACGAACAACCTTAATGTAGAAGTATTGATGTATAACGTATAAAGCAATGTACAAAATTATATTAAAGGCGGGCATGGTTGGAAGATTCAAAACCCCTATCTCTACTGCATACAATTCCACTCTCACATGCCAAACCACTACCACATATACTAAACAATATCCAAATACATCACTAAATATTAGTAGAAAAACAACACTGTCTAACTCCGCACCTTGCATACAAATACAGCCAATGTGACTTAAAGGAACAGTAGCCTCTAGGTTCTAGGGTTATTTTCAGCTAATTTAGGTTATAATTGCGCTACATAAAAAGTTTCATGGTTCAATCACCATTAGAAATATTTTTTTTTAATGTTTTAAAACTAACGACTACAGTTTGATTACAACGACGGTGGCGCCACTCAAAGCGCACGATCTGAGAAGTTGCGCAAAACCACTTTCCAGCCAAGGGCTACAGACCGAGGGTATTTCTTATTTATTCATTTAAAAGCAAAAGGATTGTAATATCTTATAAACGACATATAGTTTCAGTTATAATATGGATAAATTTGCCCTAAAATGAATATCGTTCGGTTAAATAGCATTTAGGTATAAATATAATTGCACTTTTGTGATTAGCCCTCGGTCATTTACCTGCAAAATAAAAATGCAAATACGCAACTTTTTCAGGGTGGCAGCACGGTCGCGGGTGTCATGGCGCCGTTCAAATTTCGTAGCGTTGATGTGTAAATAATTAATTAAGTATCTGGTGACAAATACATGTGGGTATAGAGTATAGACGATTTGTTATACAGTAAGTACAGTTGTATGCAGTAAAATCCTAGAGGCTACTGTCCCTTTAATGTTTGCAGTACCGGCAGTGACCGGTACTATATGTTATGATAACATGGGCAATGATTTGGTTCTCCAACGAGTGAGAACTCAGGTCCCCAGCAGGACTCCAGTGGAGGAAGACTCCAGTCTCTAGTGGGCGACAACTAACGTCTCTAACCGGTGATGACTCATATCAAGAGTACATAATGGGAGATTATGTACCATTAATCTCCCATTATGTACTCTTGCTCATATTTAGCCATCTGCTAGCTAATACATGTTCTCCAGTACAATTCTGTATCCCGCCTACACAGAACAAACCCACTCTCACGCCCCTGACCGAACGCCCCTCCATGTGCAATCCAGCACTAGAGGTTATTACTAAAACCTTGTCTCCGCACAATTCTGGACTTTTCTCTGCCACGCTAAGGCTCTCACCTTTCCCCTGCCATCAGCCAACCGCCTGGCGCTGCAGCTGAGCTTACTGCCGCGCCTCAAATCCCTGAAGCCAGTGTGTCATGTGCAAGTTGTCACACACGTACGTGTCTGCATGCATGCATATGGATTGGATCAACATAAGTCTAACACTCTAGTTTCGTAATTTTTAGATAGCCTTTTAATAATTAATAAACATAGGCTAATTCATGATATAACCTATGACAGGGGTAAATATAAATACCTCAGCAGTTCTGTCTGGTAGCCGTGTAATACGTGTAACCAGTCGGTTGCCATGCATGTCCACTCCACCAATACACATAGAATCAAACGCCTGCAGTAAATTAAAACAACCCTTCATTTCATCACATTTGTACTTACAGGTCTGTGATCACTGTCAGCAAAGTATACATATCATGAGCCTGAGGCTGAGGAAACACCATGCATGACCATCACTCAGCAGCAGCACTATCTTTATCATCAATCATTCAGCAGCCGCATTATCACCATTATCAATCATCATCAACACCACAACAAAAACAAAAATCAAAAACAACAGCAATAACATCAGCACTGCAAGCGTAACACTAATTAGCTTCAAGTTACTAACGCTGAGAGGGTCTATGTCCCCCAGGGTACTGCCGGAACGTACCCTGGTACTATCTAATATGCTGGACCGTACCTCGCCTACTCCACTAACGAGTCTAGGGAGTCGCCTACGCCTATTCCCTAACCCTAACCCTAATCCTAACCATATCAAATAGTTACCAGGGTACACGTTCCAGTATTCGTTCCGGTATACCGGACCGTACCCAGGGTACGTTCCGGCAGTACCCTGGGGGACATAGACCCTATGAGCCATATTACGCTGAAATACTACGGTTATTGCAATGGCAGTTTAGACAGACTTGTAAACAGGACCTACGTTCCTGAACGTAGACGGGGTATCCAAAACACCTAGAGCCGAGGGCATGAACTCCCTCAACGCATGATTCGCCACACGAACAAAATCTCGTGACAGTCTAAGAAATCGATTGCGGCTTAAATTGTAGCATAGCACAGTAGTCCACTAGCCACCCCTATGTCTTCT